AAAAGCTGAGCTCTGAACATAATATTTTTAGACTGGTTTCCTAAGGAAATGAAGGTTCTGTCGCTTCATGTCTGCCCATCTGTCCCCATCAAACTTTGGATCCACTGGTTATTTGCGAACGAGTTTGATGGAGCATTAGAAGTTTCAAAAATATTTAGATTTCTATTTGTGAAAACTGGTAGCTGGGAAGAGACAAGAAGTGCAAGGTAATGCACGAATCTCTGACAGAAGGGAAGGCAGGGAGGACTCAGCAGTCACCCGCTCTGTCTGAAAGCTCTTTACAAACCTCAGCACGTGGTATTTCTTGCTGCAAATACGGTGGGTAGAGATTCCCAAAGGGAATGAGCTAGGTTAAATGAAGCAGAAACTGCAGCCTGTCAGAAACACCCCAAATGTGAAACTGAGAACTTGAAGCTTTGCTCAATGCACAGGGCAACACATTTCACTCAGCCTCCTTTGCTCTGACAGGTTTGCAGGAAGCTTGTAAGAAAACATAAGAGAAAAGAAGGAAATCTGCATCACTGTGAAGGTGGATCTTTGGGATTGTTTCATGTTTTACCCACTGAGGGCCTTTGTGTACTTGCCTGTCTGTGCAAATAAATTACTTTATTTAGTCATTAGAAGGCATTGAAGTACCAAGGGGCTTTCTGTGCATAGTGGGTTCAGATATATATGGCCAGCTCCAAGTGCCAACTGCTGCTATGAAGACTTTGCCTTTGTGTTTTACACCCTTCTCACCCTCTGCCTGCCTCTGCTTTTTCAAATCACATGCTCCTTAAGGCAGGGCTTATTATTTTTCCCTTTATGTTCCTGGCATACATTTTGAGTATTGCTGTGAACAGTTAGCAAAAGCCAAAGCAGGATACCTAATGCCTTCAGTTCTCCTGTTTAACATCTCCTGAAATACCCACCACCACCTCTGACTGAGAGGCTTGTCTCTGGGGAACTGAGCAGGGAAGAGATGATGGCCCAGAGCTTGGACTCTGTGACCTCTCTCCAACCATATCTGCTGGCAGTAGAGCTCTCCTGCTGCTGGGCATGCCCTTGGGCCACCAGCTCATTTCCTGGTACAGAGCTGAGCTCTGTGAGAGACCTTTGCTATCACAGGCAATGCAGGCTTCACTCTGAGCAGCCTGCTCCCAGTGAGGTCTGCTTTGAATCTCAGAGCTGAGAAGGCCAAGGGTTTATCTCAGGATGGGAAGAAATAGCAGGGAATTAAACAGTCAAAGGAAAAGTGCAGTTTCTTACAAAGAAGTGGTCAGTGGTCAGTCTTTGCAAGTCAATAGCAGAAGCAGGGAAGCAGAGATGCTGTGTTTGAGGCACGCTGGGGATGCTGGGACAAGTCAGGGGCCATGATGAGCTCTGGGGCAGCAGCAGCTTTTGCCACTCCTGGCTGACCACAGGCTCTCTGCTTTGCTTGGCATGGGTTGGCAGACTGATAAAATCAGAGCTGAGCTGGCTGGTTCTTCCACTTCTGTCTCATGCAAATGAACAAGACCACGCTCCCTCTGAGCAGGGAGGGAGCAAAAATTTTAGTAAATGTAGATTGTTAGGTGGTCTGGTTTTGGTCTCTGCAGGAAAAGAGCTCAGCCGTGACTCTTTAGAGGGCCCCTGGGGAAGAGCCCGATAATGTAACAGAATAATGAGTGTCAAGCTATGAAAGCATTTCATTACCAGCATCCTCACCCCATGCAGCCCCAGCCTGCTGCAGTTATCATGTGTGTCTGACAAGAAAGGTCACCGTGAGATTATCCTGCCTCTGAAACAGAGCACTTGCATTCCAGCAAGGGGGTCCTCACTCCTGAGTGGGCAAAAAACATTAGCAGATCCTCAAAGCAAAGGGAAAGCTGAACTTTGGGATGCTCCTCAGGGACGCAGCGGGTGATTTCTCTGCTCTGAAGAACTGAGCTGTTGCCACCTGTCCCTCTGTTCAATCTGCTGAGGCCCCACTGTGTTGTACATGAAGCTGACAAGCAGATTTTTTTCTCCTAAACCTAATTCTCAAAATTTGCATTATTTTCCTTCCCAATTCAGTAGTTTTTTCCCTTCACAACCAGCTGAAATCTTGAATAGATGGTGTTCGTTCAGGATAGGAGTTGGACCACGAGAGACGAGCACTCCTGCTACGCTTGCCAAACTGAGCTGCCAAGTCCAGGTGCCCAGAATTCTTGGGGGACAGTGTCTGTGTAAGACAGCCTCAGCCCTTGCCTTCCTGACTGAGACAAGGGCACAGCAAACCCCTGCTCTCCCATGGGTGGCTTGTGTGATATTGGGCTATTGAAATCCCTCTGTTCATTTCCTCTGTGGTGAGCTACGGGGTTACAGAGTTTTCCCTCCTCCTGCTGTCTGCTTTAAACAAAGATGCATTTCAGGCTTCTCTGTGACCCCGTGGCCATGCCTGGTGTATCCTCTCGTGCCCGAGAGCCGGACCCCAGGACGTGAGCATCAGCCTGGAAAGCACCAGCACAGAGCTGGCAGCAGCAGGGCTGGGCTGCTTGGGCACTGCAGGGAGCAGCAATGAAAGGTGGGCTTAAAATTCAGCCCTCACATTGCTAATACAAACCTGGACTTTTATGCATAAATCTTCCTTGTAGTCAGGCCACTTCCTTTCTGAAATACAAGCTCTTCCATGACAGCAGCTCTAGCTCAACCTTCAAGGACCAACTGGCTTTTTAAATTCGTGTTTTCTTCCCCCTTCCCTGTACAAGCACCGTGCAGCTGAGCCCTCTGCCCCTGTGGCCACACTCCCGAGGCTTTCCGTGCCATGGCTGGCACCAGAGAGGGCACCTGCTTTCTCCCTTGCCACAAAGCAGGCTCTGCAGACTTCCATTTTTAGCACAGATGAATCACGTTTCCCCTGCTGATGGCAGAGAGCAAAGACCCGAGCAGCCCCCAGCAGCAGCATCGCTGCTGAACGTGAGCGGTGTCACCGAGCAGATGATGGCTGGGCACCTGTGCCTGGGGGCAGGAGTGGACAAGGACAGGAGATGCTTCATCCAAAAGCTTTAGTTGTGAATTCATATTGTCATACCGGCTTTTTGGCAAGTATTAGGATGAATGTTATGTGTTATATGCTTTTGCTATGTCTTTTCTTTCTCTCTTGCTAGCAAGTTTTAGGTCAAGAAGAATTTTGAATGTTAGGGCTATGTCCCTCTGTACAAAGCAAGATAACCCCAAATGACAAGACAATGGGGCCCAGGCTGTTATCAGCACTGACCGCTTGCAGAGGAAGGAACCACAGCCCAAATAAAATGGTGATCAGAAGAAATCAAACTTCTATGGCACGTGCTCTAAAAAGGTGAAACCAGGGAGTGGTAATTCAAAATACTTCTTGGAAAAGTTTGAATATGCTTTGAACTCCCACAGCAGGATGGGATGAAAGGAGTGTTCCAAAGATACCAGGTGTGCTCTTGGCAGCGCACCAAGGCACCCGGCCGTTTTAACCCTTTGCTTTATTATCTTTTTCTCCTAATTGTCTTTTTGTTTATATTAAACCTCTTAAAATCTATTAAGTGAATGAACCTCGTTTTTCACACCAGCTTCTGCACTCCCAGCCAGTTCTTCCCTGCTCCTTCTCTCTGCTTCGCCCTGCAGATTTTATTTGCAGCAGCAGGAGTGTCATAAGCACCGGCAGTACAAGTGGCTTCTCTCAAAAGGTGGCAAAAATAGGCACTTTCTTGGAGTTCTGTGTTTGGTATACCACCAGGATTTCTCCCTTCCTCAGCCACTAGTGCCAGGGAAGAGGTCAAGGAATTTATACCAGTACTGATGGGGTTTTTGAGTCAAGGAATTTATACCAGTACTGATGGGGTTTTTGACAGAGAATTTTCTTTTACACTTCTCCCTTCTAATCCTTCATTTGGTATTTTAGATGGGACTGCTTTGGGGTCAGGAGGTACTCCATCCTGAAACTGAAGGAAACTCTTTGTTTTGCCACAGCCCAAAGTCTGTCCCAAAAAAACAGTCAGCCTAGGAAGAACCATGAGGTGCATCCTAATTTTTGACTTTCAGGTCTTTTTAGATACAATGCCTAAATCTGGCAAAAAGAGTCAACACAGACATTTTTGATATTTAACACCATAACCAACAAAATAATTGTGTTTAAAAATACTTTGCCATCATTTTTTTAATAGTTTAGTTCTAGATTAACTCATTTAAAACTCAGTAATTTTAAAAAAAATAGTATTTGTGCTTTTCTCTTTGATCCACTCTTTTGCTTTTCTTCTGCTAGGACACTTGCAAGCACCTTTGTCTATTTATTTTAATTTCTTTTCTATACATTTGGGGTAGTTTTGATACCTTTCCATTTGTTATGAATACCCTGGATGTTGGGTGTTCAGCCTGGGACACCTGCAGCCCAACTCTGGCTGTACACGAGTGTGCATGATGCACGTGTGCATAGGAGAAGCCCTACATGTGTGTCTGATACAGAATTGTCTGTCTGCTGCATGATTGTCTGCTGCATTGTTGCTGGCCTGAGGACACAAGTGCAGTGAGGAAGCGCTAACATCAGCAGCCTTGTGCCTGCCAGGTTTCCTGAAGCCCTTACAGCTGAGCACTGGAGACCCGACAGGCTCCAATCCATATTCAGTTGTTTATTTTCTGGGGGAAGGTGCGAGCTAAACTACTCTGATGTCTCTTTATATTTCAATCAAATCACATACTTCAACACATTAAGTGGCTTCAAAAAGATATTGATGGTGTTAGAGCACATGCAGTGCTCCAGCAGGAATCAATCCCTTCCTTCTCTGACAGACAGAAAACCTCCTCATAAACAGTCACGTTGAGATCCTGCTTATGTTTCATAGTGTTTTGTGCAGTGATTCCCATCAGAAGCCATCTAATCTTTATTGTTGTTAGTTTTCAGAGAGCTTTTCCAGTACCCCATAACTCAGACACCACCCACCTCCCAGTTTTGCTCTTTATCCTACATCCTTCTGTGAGGATGGGGATGGTGAGAGGTGTCCGGTCCCATTCCTGACACAAGCAGACGCAACATCTTAAAACACACAACATGATTTTTTTTTATTTGTTTAATCAGTTTACATTCCACAACTGACAGTTTACTTATTATTTTTTAATTTTCCATGAACAAGTTGTTTAGTTAGTTACCAGACAAGATTTTAATCAATGGAAATACAGTATTCTGTGCCAATCTGAATAAAACCAAAACCAAAACAAATCAAACAAAAAGGAAACTGTAAGATGTAGCCAGTTTTTCAGCAAAGTCCTGTGATGCTTTCTGCAACTCTTGTCTTCCAAAGTTATAGGGGTTTGTTCATTCTCCCTATTAGTTCCCTGATCTTAACTCTGCCAGTAAAATGTTCCTTCAGGGCCACAGTCCTGCAAACACTGATGCACAAACACAAACACCCGTGTGTCTCCAGATTAGCACCTTGGATTAACAGAACAAGAAATTTGGGGGTCTTTCATGTTTAAACAAATTCTGATCACCTCTGCTGCAACAGATTACGGGAAGAAATGGAAAAGTACACTACACTTGATGTCACACTACTTGTGAAATTAGCCACCACACTCATATCTCACCAGAACAACCGAACAAAATAGTCAGTGGTTGTTGATGTATTGTTAGCACCGATGGCCACAGGAGCCACTTCGCCCCTTACAGCAGCACAGAGGTCCCAACCTCACAGGACATGTCACTCTCTATTAGTTCTGACAACTGGATGTTACTACTCAAAAGTCATAAAACTCTGTGTGTATTGGCTAAAAAGCGCTCCACTTGATTGAACAGCTGCAAACAGAGCTCAGATATTCTTTACAATGCCCTAACCATAATCAGAAATGGATATGGTTTTGGACTTTTCAAATATGTTAAAGTTTTATATATTTCAATGTAATTCCCATCTAGCAAAGCACTTAGGCATGTACCTAGCTTTAAGCATGACAAAAGCATCCTTAATGGGAAATTTATGCTTGAAATTAGGCAAGTGCTTTGTGGGATCAAAGCTCTGTAGCAGTGCTCTGAAGAAATCAGGATCCTGAGTGTCCTAATCCTGGCTTTCCTATTTGCAGATTTGAGTAAACCAGCTGCAGTCTGGATTTTCAAAAGTGCTAGGAAGAGAAGGCTCCACCTGCAGCTGGTAGAACTTGTGAGGGGGCACCAAACCACTTAATAGAAGGTCTTTTCCCAGGCTTTTGGCTTCCCATCTCCAAAATGGCTGTAATACCTACCTGCCTCAGATAGGTCTGATGGGACTCATAAAATTTTCTATAGAGAAAATATGCCAGATAAATGTGATGTATTGCTGCATTTCTCTGAATATGCCTGAGTATTGTGTCATTCTGGGTCTTTCTTAATCCAGCTTTGATGTGTGTGTGCTGCACTTAGAGGAAACATAAACAGCTGGCCAAGATGACAAATGTCCTGTACCAGTCATATTATTTTACTTGGGAATGTCCTAGGAAAGTGCTGACATACTTCAATTTGCAGGCATTTAAGTGAATTATTATCCTAAGCTTCCCAAACTGTCAATTAGAAACAATGATGACTGCAACTTTCATCATCATCAAGGATGATTATGGGAACTGCTTCGTTTCTTCTGAGCAAGGGAGAAAAAAAACATAAGGAAAAAAGGACCAATGAGAAAGTCAAGAAAGGGAAACCCTCCAAAAACTTCTGGCCAGTGTGGCAGCATGTGGTTAAGCTGAATATTACTTGGGTCAGAAGAAATCCTGAAGAGCAAATATCTTTGTGAGATGTGTCCACAGTGGATGGTGGGGAGTCCAGCGTGTCTGGTTTCTCCCTGCTCCTTGCACCCAGCACTTGTGCCCTCACATAGACGTGTTTTGCACATCCACACCCATTTCCCATGGGCACAAGTGGGAGAGTGAGAGTCAGACCCTTGCTCTGAACTGGCCCAGAGGTTCACGAGCAGCAGGAGAGCTCACAGGGGAAGGTGACACTGGAGCTCTGGTGGCCTGAGAGCTCCACCCATTCTCCTTCCTTACCCCCAGGATCACCCCAGTGCCAGGCACTGCTCTGTCCCCTGGAGCCTGGGCATTTGCTCTCTGTGGCAGGGTCACAGGAGCGCTTACAGCTCTCATTAGGACGTGAGATGGGTTTTTTGAGAGAAAATGGAAAGTTATCCAAGAAGATAATCCAAGAGCAATCCCAATGGTGGGAGGTCAGGCAGGCTCCCCTTGGCAAGCCACATCTTGGCAAAGTGAACCCAGAAGGGAGGAGAATGTGCATGGCTGTATGCCAGGACTGTTGTAACGAATGGGAAACAAAGATAAACTGGTATGGAGTCACCCCTTAGAACCTCCTGCCATGTGATGCTGTGCACTGACTTTTTAAAAGGAGGTTTTCTTTGACACTAAAACTCTGAAAAACCTGCAAAATCCTTGTGGGACACTGTGAGTCAACAGTTTAAAGAGCAACCTTTGAGAGTCCCACATCCCAGTACCTTCCTCATCCCTCTCACAGAGAGGGAGGGCAAAAGAGTGATGATGAGAATTTAGGAACATTCTAAAAAATCTTGCAGAAAATGGTGCTGCATCTGTAAATTTGATATATTCTCAAACTCCTCCTCATTTCCAGAGTTCACTCTTAAAGCCTTTATTTCTTTACCACAGACATCTCAAATAACAAAACAGTCACATATGCAAGAGCTGGTATGGAATGAAATTTAGAGAAAAATGTCTTTACAGGAAGTATGTCTGTATTCTTACACACAGGGAGGAAAAGGAAGAGAGGGAGACAGAGATACATATCTTACTCCTCAAAAAAGGGAAAGGGAGAACAGGAGAAGAATGTCAGGATGATACACTACAGCTTGGGCAAGGTAGTACCATGCTGAAAAATAACATTTGATCCCTGGAACTCAGCTTTATCTTCCACTTTCTAACTAAAGCCTTTCCTTAAGTACTAGTACACAATATTGGATCTTTATTTTACAATTCCCTGCAGGTCAGCTGAAGCGCCTCTTGTCAAAACCTTAACAATATTTTTAAAAATAAAGTTGTTCTGAGAGATGGGTGAAGATTGTCGAGTCACTGACTTAAATTTAGCTGTAGAAACAAATAGTAGTGACCATAAATTTGTACAAGATCCAAAGTTCATTTAGCCTTAGAGTTTTCAGAAATCAGTTTAATTTTTCCACTCCTCTGACTGTTTCTTTTATTCAGGTAATATATGGGACTTATATACAAGAGTTTCAAAGTTCTAATACTAGATTAAACTGCTGGTCCTTCTAGGTAGACTCACTGTCAATATGCAATTCCAAATTTTGGCTCTGAGAGACTCACCATGAGATGGAGATGTATGTTCAGTCTTGTCAAAGCAGCTTTCTGAATAATACAGCCACAGTTCATCCTCTTTTTGAGTCCTCATCTTGGTTTTTCTGAGGACAAGAATAATCCCAACAATAAGGGATGAAATTGCAATCTCTTTAATCTCCATGTAAGCTGTTTGTAAAGCAGTTATTAACATTGAAAAAAAGAATATGAAACTACCCAGACTGTATCTTGGAGGAGAATTTTTTGATTATCACTACCAGCTAGATGACTTTTTCAGTCCAGTTTGGGGAAAAATAAAGCAAGAAAAGTAACCTTTGAGCAGCTCAGCTGTTCAAACATTTAAATTTACTCTTTGAACTGCTTCAGCAATGTGCAGGACTGGCAGAGAAAGGTGAAGAGTTCGGACCAAAGACCTCTGACCTCCAGCACTGGGTTCACCCAGTCATCTGTGCCTGGAGGCCATCACAAGGCACTCACCTCAAATGCTATTTCCAGGGGTTGGGACAAGCCCTATCCTTTTGCAATCATGCTGCAGTTCGGGAGGGGAAGGCTGTTGTGAACATCTCCTTTTGTTCCAACTGGATTTCACAATTAAAACCTGTGTTTTACAGGTGAACCCAGGCCATGCACCCAAAGCACACAGACATGGCTGATCTCCATATGGATGCTCTTCTGCACTAGGTTCACCTAAATCCTGGTTCACCTCACCAGGATTTAAGATCTTTTAAGATCTTTGGATCACCCAAGGCAGGTGAGTGGTCATTGCATGAAGCAAGAAGGAGCTCCTAAATCTTAGATGTCAGTTTTTCTAGATCACCACCTGTAAGCAACTGTCTCTCTTCCCTACCTGTACAAGAAGCCAAGGGAGATGGGCTCATTAACATCATGAACTCAGATAAATGTCTAAGGTTAATGGGGACAAAGGCAGGTCAGAAAATCCTGGCCTTTCGGTGGCTCAGGGTCACAGACCAAGGCGCTCCTCCCAAATGTACACCTAAAGAGAACAGCATCTGTACAAAGGGCCTCCTAATAAAGGACAAGAGAATCAATTGAGAGAGCTAATGCTGAACAGAAATCCTACCATTGCTTTTTCAGTCCATTCCTTTTCCTTAAAAAAGCCCTTGAGACCCAGTTCTTTGACTGGATGTACGTGTGTGGATGTGCATGCCGTTGGCTTGAGTGTGGTACCCCTCCTCAACTGGTTCAATGGCAAAATGAGGATTTTCCTGGGAAATAGTACTTTTTAGTTTGTTTTGGTTTAAAACTGAGATACATGAGGATCGTGAAAAAAAAACAGTCCTTTGCCTGAAAATCTGTACATCAACCTCAGGTTATTTCAGGCAATCACGATGATACGGACATTTTTCATAAATTTACAAATATACATACAAATATACACATATATACAAGTATATGTGTGTCAGCCTATGGGCTAGATTTAATAATGCTTTATTCCAGCCACACACAAGTAAAATGGTTGCTTTTTACAAAAAGAGATTGGTAGAAAGTTGGAGTGACTTAGCAGTGACTTTTCCTGCATCTATGCAAAAGATCCTTAAGTGGGCTGACATAGAAGTGCAGCCCCCTTACCCAAGTCCCCTCATCACATGTACATATAAATAGGACCCAGTCTTACATCTGCTAATGAAAGAAATTTCTCCTTGATCCAAATGACCTGTAATCAAAGAGGATTTAAAGAACTGAAAGTTCTAAACCATTTTAGATACAGTTTACAGTTTTGAAAGTTGTAACATCTGTCATACTAGGCCTCAAAAGGCTTTAAAATAATTAAAGTTACTGCAGAAAAATACCTTCAAAAGTTCCCAAATATGCTTTTCTGTGTAAGTAAGGGAAATTTTGTCCTGCAAAAGATCAAACCGCAAATACATGGATTTAAACACTCTAAGTGATGGAAATTGCCAAGTAAAAATAGTAACAGTTTAAATTAGATATCTGGGATTGCTGTTGGTGCCCAGGAGTTATAAATAATTCAGTACGCTCTAACTGAACAGTCTAAGGCTGCACTTTTGTTGTTCTGATTACTCGAACCTTTTTCTTATGATCTACATTGTTAATGAATAGCTCTTTGTAAAAAAAAAAAATACAGCCTTATGCTCTACAGACAGAAGAAAACTCTTCTTGAGATAAAACATCATGAGAGTTTAAGCAAATTAGGAGTGTGTAAGTTTTTTTCAAAAAACATATAGGCACCAAAAGCACTTAGTGTTTTACTCAGTGTCTGAAGAGGAATTGGGTACTGAAGCTGTTTGGTGTATCTGGCCTCAGAAGACTAAGCCATAACTGAGTCACACTCCTTGGAGTCTGCATAGTTTTGAAACTGGGGCAAAACCCACAGGTTTTTGAAGGCTTAGCTCTTTATCTCAGCTACTGCAGAATTGCTGTTGCTGCTTGAGCATTTCTGACCCACTGGCATAGTAATGAGGCCACTTGAAGGAACTGCCTTTACAGAGATATTCCTGTGTCCTGCTGCTGCAGGTAGGGCTCAGACCCACGAGATGTGAAGCTCCCTGCTCTGCCCAGCAGCTTCAACCACAGTCTTCATGCTGCCAACAACCTGCACGAGCCCTGTGCAGGCTCAGGGGTGTCCTGCCATGGCACTGCCTCTTGGCACAGTGGGATCGCTACACAGTGGGATTGTAAACATTTCTGATTTGGAGGGGATACATTGGAAACTTTTCCTTAAATAGCCAAACACTTTTTGATGGAAAATACCAAATTTATCCCAGTTGTACTGTGCTCCCTCATGCATCTCCAGCAGAGAGTTTGCATGTGGTCTGCGTGCACAACCCAACAGGGTCACAGATGGCATCTGAACTGCATTGCAACTCCTGAGATAAGTGTAAAAGAACGAGAACAATCATGCTGCATTTTGCTATGTATTTTCTGCCTATATTGGACACTTTCACAGGTTCCTGGCATCCACATCATGTGGGATGTGCACATGTGTGTGCTTAAGGAAAAAAGGGAGGGAGGGTGCCCATTTGTATACACCCTATGCAGGAACACTTTGGAAGTCACTTTTTGCCACTGTGCAGGAGTGTTAATCAGTGAAGGAAGAATATAAAAGTGCAGTCCTATAAGGGACTGACAATTCCTGCTGCTAATGCTGAGGGTGACATTGGAGTATTCTCACAGAATTCCACCAGTTCTGAAGCAACTGCTGTTGGGTCTCCTTTTTTTCACTCTCCCACTTTCCCCTGGAGATAATCTATCTGAGACTGATATTTTCATTTAAAGTCTTTCCTGAGCGAGGGAAGGACAATTGATCTGTGATTTTGGAATGCTTTACTAGAGGTGACCAGAATTTAATTTCCCTCTTGTGGCCTTTATTGAGGCAGTCGTCTAGACTCTTTCTCAAGTTAAATCCTAAACTTGTGCAAGGCATACTGCAATTAAATTGACAGCACTGTATCAGGCTCCAGTTCTCCAACTGATGTCAACACAAAGCTGAGAGCCCCCTGTCAGACCCCCCTGGCACCAGCAGCATTTGTTGTCAAAATGTTGCAATCACTAATTATGGCTCTGAAGAAGGCTGCTTGATTGTGGTGTTAGTGGGGCACACAGGATAGAAACTCTAAACTGAACTGGGGGAGTGCCAGGGAGGGAGGGAGGCAGGGCCATCTGATGACTTCCTTTCTAAAGCCAAAGAATAGATGTTGTGAGTGTATAAGCACACATTTCATTTTTTATGTTAACCAAGACAGCACTGAAACGTTTTCTAAGGCACCTGAGCTTTCTAAGAACCTCAACAGACTATGGAATAGTTGTGTTATATTCCTGGCTGTGACTGGAAACAATGGACTGCAAGTTTTGAGCTAAGCCCTGGTTTTTGAGTTTTCACCTTAAACTGGCAGAACCAAGATTTTATATGGATCTGGAGTTAGCAATCAAGCTTTAGGCTTTTTTGAACTTTGGTTCCTGACCTTAGAAGATCATCTATCACTAATCTTTATATGCTGTTTGTGTTTCATGCCCATTTTTTACTCTTTGTCTGTTGTTGGTGCCTGGCAATCGTTCAGAACTGTCTCAGTCTTTCACCTTGAGTCTTCCCTTGCTGGCTGGATGAGCAACAGCAGTGTGGACCACGAAGGGGTGAGAAACTTGGGGACAAGAAAATGCAGTGGTTGTTTGTGTGAATGTGCCTGAGCACTCCTGTAGCCCTTCGAGGCCTATGTAGAGATCCAGAGAAGAAAGAGCCCGAATAATGTGTGTCTTTATTTAAGCTATACTTGGTAACATATTATTTTCCCTCCATTTCGCTGCTGGCAGTTAGCGTGGCGCTCAAGAATTAAGGACAGATTACAGTGATTTTCTTCTGAGCTCTGCTTATTAGTGGGGCTCCAGGGATGAGCCTGATTCAGAGGCACTGCACGGTGGGTAAATGGACAGCCATGGAGACACAGTCTTCCAGGAATGCTTGGGAATCTGAGACAGCCCCTGCACATCAATCTCCTCCTCCTTCACCAGCTTTGTTTTATTCACCATCCACTGAACGGCACATAGCTAAAAATGGTCCCAAATGACTTGCATCCACAGGAAAGCAGGACACCTGCACTCTCACAATTCACTCTTGGGAGGATGAGGATCCTCTGTTTAGAGTACTCTGAGGATGCTGTTTTTTCCCTTTCGTTTTTTATTGCAGCTGGAATAACATTTTAAAAAGTAATGACAATTTTTCAAAAGCGGTATTTCAAAGAAATTGCTCTGGTCACTGGTGGTTTGTGATCCACTTGTGACTGTCCCTGGGGCAGAAGGAAAAAAAAGCCCAACTAGAAAAAGAACTGGAGGGACTGTACTGTTTAGATGAGGAAAGATCAGTTGTGTGTTTGCAGAGAGGAAGAAGGGATCGATGATATATACAGGTGGCTAATATGGGTCAGGAAATTTAGCACACAAACAGCTGTAGCTTAAAGAAGTTGGTGCACTATAGGGTACATAGGATACAGGGCATGTGTGCTGCTGCCACATAGCCCCTTCACATGTACAGCATCCCAGCAGGGATGGACAGCAGAAACCCTGCAGCTGACTCCTTACAGTCACAGGGCAACACAACTGAGTCATTACACACAAAACCTCAGCCTGCAGATGGCAGTGGGTTCAACCAATTCATCCTGCATCCTTAGGATGGGCATTTTAGGGTATCTGCCTTCACTGCACTCCAGTGGCTCTGTGGTCTCTGGAGCATAGAGATTTATTGTCCCAGAAGTGCAACCTGAAGGGCTAGGTGTGGGAAAGAGCCTGCCAAATATGGATCCTGCATTTCCACTTCACAGAAAGGGAAACCAAGAACACACTGGTTGTTCAGGCTAGGACAGAGTGTCACCTTATCTACAGGGCAAGGACTGGAAAAGAAGAGCGTGGGCTGGACTCTGCAGGAAGCTGAAAATCATCCAGGAAAGCACATTCTTGACTTAAATATATGAATAGTCAACCAAAGTTAAGGGGATTAGTCACATGCTCCAAGTAAAGCACTTGCTTAGGCACTTGGCCAGAGCAGATCTGATGGACAGGGTCAAGCCCCTTAATGCTGGGATCACTGATAACAGATTTTTAATTAGCTGCTCCTACAACTTAGAAACCACGCCCTAGTAAAAAAGCTTCAATTTCTGTTCAGGAAAAATACTTCAAAGCCTACCCCAAAATACAGAAACTCAGAGTAGCTGTGAGTGTGCTTCAGCTCAGGAGAGATGGAGACACTAACCCTCACAAATTTGTATCTGGATGTATTCTAGATCAACCCTGCTCAAAAGACAAGTCTGAGCACACAGAAGGCGTGGTGGGGCTCTGACCCCTATTCAGGGGTATGGAAGCACATGGGACTCCTCCCAGGTCTTCGAGAAGCATGGAGGGAAATTCACAATCTCCCAAAGGGGTTCTGCCCTTACCTAAAGCAATAATGAGAGAACTGGTGCTTGGACAAGGGGTCCTTTTGGGGATCCAGCTGGAGATTAAGGTGACATGATCACCTGCTGCTTCAGATGGAGCTTTTAAGATGCTTCATAGCCACACAGGCCTTACACACCCTATGCTAGAGCAAGTGGAAAATCACAGAACCGCGCCAAAGATTCAGGGTGAACACTTTTCTGTTGCAAAGAAAAATAACCATAACCCTCTTCCACCACTGCCACACACACAGACAGACACACAGGCTTATATACAGCTTGTAAACCAACACCATCAGAGAATACTTCATCAAGGCAAAACTGGCTTTAGGCCAGCTGCAGAAAAAAAGGAAATCTTTGAAAATCCATCAAACAGCAAAATTACTTCCATTTCTTTAAATCTTACTGCTATACCTCTTTCAAAACTATATCTGTAAAATACACCCTGTGAACACTGATGGACCACACAAGGATACATCATCACAGGAGCTGCTGTACTGCTCTGCCTGCCACAGGGCCTGATGGTAGACTCCAGATAGGTACCTCTGTGACTCTGGTATTCCTGTGTCACTCCAGATATCTATCTCTATTTACGTGAAACAGCTTTCCTATCACATTTAGCACTGCAGAGGAGGAAGAAAGATTTCATTCAAAGCTGTTTTAATTAAACAGCTGTAATTTTCCTAATAATTCCTTATCAATAAGTTGTTTTTTTTAAAATTTTTCATGCTTTGAAGAAATTAACCATTTTTATAGGTCATTTTTGGTTTCCATTTATTGGTTTTTCAGCTTTCATTTAGATCTCCAAGGCTGTTTTTGTTTTAAATTTCCTTCTTCTGTTCAATGGTAATTCATCAACCTCCTTACCAAGTAGGCACTTGCACAGTCAAATGATTTCAAAACTTTTTGAAACCATTCTATTTGAAAACCTTCCCAGAAATAAACAAAAAACCAAACAAACAAAATCCCCCAAAACAAACAAACAAACAAAAAAAAACCAAACCCAAACCCCAATCTGCTTAAAAAGGAAGCTTCTTCAAAATGCTTATATTTTCAGCTCAAATAAATAAGTAATTTCTCTGGTCACATGGTCACATCTAATGGAAAATGAAATAGTGAAACTTCAGTTGACAGGGGTGGCACTTCAGTGGGAACACACTGAATTAGCAGCTGGCATTGGCATGTTTGGGGAATCTGGAGACAGCAGAAAACAAAAGCTAGGTAGCTGAGCAAGAATGGAAGAACCCCAAATCTACTCTACTCCAACATACCCTCCAGAAACTTTGTTTCTTTGAGCACTGTCATACAACTACATGTGTAAGAATTATTTGTTAGCTGGATATTTTTAAACCAAGAAATACTGTTTCTTGCCAGCTGTGTAAATGGTATGACCTGGAAATTAATGCCTGCATTTCTGTGCAGCAGGCACAGGCTTCTTCTCCTGGTGAGATATTTTAGATGGAGAGGATGACTTTTAATTGACTAATGAGGACTGATATCATGCAGCTATCATGTAATAAAGGATTGCTGGTACTATCCCTGAATTAAGAGCTTGTTGGGTTGGACTGGTTTTGGGGAGACCTTTTTTCTTTGTCCTGTCTCCCTTTTTTGTCATATTTGTCAGTGGTGCCTCACTCCTGCGCATGGCAATTCAGTCATCCTTCTTCAGAGTCCCTTTGGCTACACCCTTGGCCCTTCTTCCCCACCTTGCCCTCAGCCACTGGTACCCTGCAAGGACCCACTATCCTCAAAGCCAGAATTCTTGTCTTCCCCTAATGGCATTCACCCACCTCTCCAGACTTAGCTGTTTGTTTAGCTCTTCTGGGATCTATGACCTGAACGATGGGAAGAGCAGAGGGAAGGAAAAAGGAGACAGTAGGAAAAAGGAGTAGCAGGAAAAGGAGAAAGACCAAAAAAAGAGAGTTCCATTTGCAGATTCACACTTATATCATACAATACTTAAGCTCATGGGAAATGGACCTCTGTTCTCTGCATCTAACCCTTTCATGTCCATCTGTACACAGTTCTCTCAGATGGAGAGAGGAGATGTCCAGTGAACCAGGGCAGTTTCCAAAGACAGGATATGGAAAGGTCTTATTTGGCATACATGAACACAATGAGAGGCATCTCTTACTTCTCTTCTACAGAAATTAGCTCCCTTTTCCTCCTCTGCAATGGCTTTTTCCCAGTTGTCTCGAACATCCAGGTGGGAAACTTGATGAAATCACATTCCAACAAATCCCCAGGAAGAACAGCTACCAGGCCTCCCCCCACCTCCCTTCTCCTTGGTCAGTCTTCCCCTGGATCCACCATCCTGAATTCTTAGAAGCTCCGTGAAAAAAAACACAATAACCTGCTGAAATCCACCAGAGAAGATGCGCTGTCTCAGACCTGACGGCTTTCCTCACACTTCTGCCGCTGCAGTGCCTCAGTCTTGGGCCACAAACACAGCATGGATGGTTTAGTGGACAATCACATTGCAATGTTTTAAATTTTTCTTTTTGTTAAAAAAAAATAAATTAAGTAAGAGGGAAGAAAAAGTTATACACACATGTATCACAGCATTTTCAAAAGGCCTTCTGCCACATTTGCATTAGCAGTTCAGCCTCGGTTGTAAGCCTGGATGTAAGGCAGCTGGAAGATTAAAACTGCATTGTTGGAAAGTCCGCTGAGATGTCCTCTTGGAGATTTTTATTGTTTTCTGGTTTTATTTTCTTAGGTTTTTTTTTATTATTATTAATTATTATTTTCACTTGTTTGCTTCTCTCTAAAGTTTGGCAGGCAAAGAGAAAATGCTTTTCTACGTTTCCTCACACATTCTGTCCATTTTGTTTTCTGTGGAAAGGAGGAAAAAAAACCAACAAAACCTCAAAACCAATGACACAACAGGCTTCTGTCATTTTGTTTTAAGAAAGAAAAAGAACTTGGGTGGGTTTCTGATAATGGCCTTGAGGAGGTACGTTGTTGAAGTGGCTCAAATGCTTCATTTGTTCCTTTGCTTGCTCTTTGCATTTTCCCTTCTGGCTGCAATGGACACGCTTTTTGTGTCATTCCCCCCGCGCCTCTGCCCCCACCATGTTCTGTACAGATTCTGGTTCCAGATTCCCCACATGGATCCCCTGTTCCCCCTCCCAAATGGCAGTAGGTAGGTGCAACTGTAGGTTCATTTGACCTCTAAGGTATGATGCTGAAGTTAAGAGATGGATGGAAGAGCCACGTGAGAGAAAAGCTTTCCCATCACTGTGAGAAAGAATGAAGCAACACAGAGTCCAGTGGAGATGTGAGTGCCATATTGGACTCAGCTCTACCTTGGCACTGGCATTAATTTGAGATTTTATATATATATATAATTTTATATACATATATATGCATGTATAGGCATACATAGGCATATATATATATATATGTCTGTGTGTGTGTGTGTGTTATTTGTTTGCTATTTGCTTTAGCACACTGTCCCATTCTCAGGTCTAGATTTGGGGCAGTTGGTCCTGGGGACAGGTTGGACAGAAGGGGCCAGAGTGCAGAAGAAGCCAGAGATGAGAGTGAGGCCCAGGCCCCCCCACGCACAGAACATGGACCAGCCATAGCCATGGCTGATGTCGTCGGGAAGTCCGTACAGGTAGCGGGGGTAGCGGGAGAGCTCAAAGTTGATTCCAGCCACGCACGTGCACAGTGAAATGATGCAGAAGGTTCCTGGAGGAGAGCGGGAAGGGGAGAAGGAGGGAGGAGAAAAAACAAAGAGAAGTTAGAAGAGTGATAGACACAACCCTTTCCAAACTGCCCGAGAGGAGCTGGTGCAAGCAGTAAGGAGGTGCCTAAGGGAGGATGTCTGCACAGAGAGTGGCTTAGTCTGGAGGCTCCATGGGGAAAGAACTCAGTACCACCAGAGCCTTGAATATTGATCTGCTGCTGAACAGAGCTGTATGGGAAACTTCAACAGGAGCAGTTTTTCATTAGGAGCACTCCCTTGGGAACCAGAGTGCTCCATGGAGCCATCGATTTTTCTAAAACTTTGCTTTAGACAAATAGAGAGTGAATAATCTTGTTTTGACATTTTTTGGGAGGGAAAGTAACCCTAAATTTTTTGTTTCATTCCAGTTTTTCAGTGATAGACTTTATAGAATATTACAATATATTTGACATGTTCTGGCTCTGTTGAAATGTACATTTGAACTTACGGGGGAGATTCTCTTTATTCTTTCCTTATATCAATACAGAATTTTTCATTATGCAGTCTCCTTTTAAATATCACTTTAAAAATCTTTAAATCCTTCACAAAACTCAGATTCTGCCTCCTGCATGATTCCTAGTTTCAATCTAGATGCTCTCTGCCATGTCACTGAAACCTTCAAAATATCCTGTTCTTGTTTTCCATCTCTGCAGCAATATTTCATTTCTTATTTCTTCTTGAGAACACTGCGAGGACAAACTTCATAACTCTGTCAGGTGGTGTTATGGAAAGACACACATATCAGATGAGGCTGAACCTTATCCCACCCAGATGAGTCTAATTTTGATCTTTGGCCTCCAGCTTCTTCGAAGCTAAACTCTGAGCTCCTGAAATGTCACAATTGCCACCCACACACCAAATAATGGATAGATACAAATGCTACACACCTGCCGCAAGAGATAGCGACTCAAGTCAGCATGAAGTTGGCACTTTATTTTTCCTCTCTAATCCCTCCCTTTGTGGGCCTCTGAATTCCCTGGAGAGCCCTGGGCACGAGAGATGACCTACAGGACTCGTGCTGCAGGACACACACGGTCAGTCCTGAGTCTCCTTGCTCTGCTTGTGCATGGATCGGTCACGTGTGACGTGTGCTACCTGCGCAGCACATCCTGCATCTGTTCACTAGCAGCTGCTGCTGAGGAATCTCTTCTTCCTGGTCACATCCCTAAACCAGCACAACTTCCAAAGCAGTCACAGTCAGCCTAGTTTAAGTGAAACATCCTGTGTTTCGGTGCCCCTGCTTCCTTCTACTCCTTCCTGCCCCTGGCTCTGCTTCTCTTCTGCAGCACTTTTGCTGTTGTTTCTCTCCTGCTTTGCTCTTTTTAGTTGCAGTTGCATTGACTAAATGAATTTGACATTCCCCACTCTGATCACAAAGGTAAGACTATTTGGTGAATTCACATGCAATTCGGTTCAGAAACTGGAAGCATTGTCAGGAGCATACACACATCATCAAAGCGTGTGAACTTTCCACTTTACCCACCTTGTTTATTTAGCAGCAACCTCACATAGGCATTAAATCTATAAATCTCTATCATGGACCTGCTGTGAGATCACTGTTATGGTCCTCTCTCTGTTCTCTCTTCTGATCACTGCTGTGCCTGTTTGGATGGCCTTTTCTCCACTATGCTTTGGGAAGTCACTTGTAGATAGTCTCTGCTGTAAAGGTCAGGTGCCTCCCCTAAGCCATTGAACAGCTGCCAGATGGCCCAGGATATCCATAAATACTTATATTATGGGAGTGCTACTGGGTACCAGTGAGGACCAGTGAGCTGCTGCAGTAGTACTATGCCTATTTCATTCCAAACAGCCTTCTTGTCCCCCACCAGCACCCCATCAGTCTGCAGTCAGTGGTCTGGACTCTTACAAAAACAATCCTGTGAGATCCCAGGCTCTGGAGTTGTCCTATACTGCTTCAAAGCACAGAACAGGATAAATGGGGAGATCTCCCTCCCACAATCCATTAGTCAAAAATCAGGGTGTTTGATTAAAAACCACATGTCCTTTCCTTGTTTTACTATGTCACTTAGGTTATTCAATAATATGAAGATGTCTGACCAGAATGCTGTGTTCTATGTCAGAGTGACTAGTACATTGTGGGATCAGGGGAAAAAAAAATGATGCCTCAGAGGCACTGTGCTCTGAATTGGCTCATTTCATATGGTTGTGGTTAGAAAATGACAGGGAAGGCCTTTCTTTGCTAGTAAGAACATGGTAATTTCTGCTGTCTCAAAATAGAAGATTTTTAAGAGAGGTGGGTGGGAAAATCTGTGTGGCCAGACTAAAGCTGCATTTGCTAAGTACAAAAGGGAAGGAAATAACTTAGGATTTCAAATACTCCCCGTGCTTGCACTCTTTGTCTTGGTGGTTTTGATCACAAGCTCTTCAGTGCAATGAGTGTTGCATACTCTTCGTATTTGAACAGTGCCGATATATTGGCACTCCACCTTGCCGAGGGTATTCTGCCCCTTAACAAGGGAACAACAAAGAGGACCAAGTAACAACACAGAGAACTAAGCAAATCACAAGCATGAGACTTCTCTAAAAAAAGCCTGGGTTCTTTCTGGAGAATGTGCTAACCCATGATGACAAATAATGCCTGCCGTGCACAATGTCACAGAGTGCAGAGTACAGTCCTCAGCCCATCGCCCCCCTGTGCCTCTGCAGGATGTCTTGTACGACACAGAGTTATCTGTCTCTCTGGCACTCTTCATTGCAGACACAAAAAATGCCATTTTACGCCATCTAGAAAAATCTTTATGGCCATTTTATGAGTCCTATGTGTTGCTTGTGTTCAGCCAAGCAAGGAAGTTCCTGCTTATAGTTAATCTGGCCTCTCACCAGGAAGGCTACTGATGAAAACCGAGTAAGGTTCCTACCTCTTGACTGTTCAGTAGCTTTTCCTCATGAACTGGCAATCATAACACAAAAGATCATCCTTGCAAATTGCACAGTTGTTGGCCATTGTAGTGGAAGAGTCATGGGTAAAAGGATGCAAAACCTGAGCTTACCCGTGGAAATGAAGCCTCTGCTAGTCCAGGTATGACATGGAGCTGAGGTGGCAGGAGGAGGGAGGCTGTCACTCCTGCCCATGACACTCTGCACTACAGACACGGTGCTTCAGAGGCAGCAGGACTGCAGGAGGTCATGAACATTCCCAATCCTAACGATCCTTTTCATCCCCAGAAGTCAAAGTGAACTCATATGCAGTTTTCTCTCAAGTTTTTGCTGTCAGTGAGGTATCCTCCTACATGTGCACTAATGCCCCAGATCCCCTGGAAACTGCATTGAAACAAACTTCAATTTCTTGGTGAAAAACACTCCCCATAGCTGTGATTCAAGCAGATGACCAGACCTGAAGGCTGGCAGTTCAGCCACGGCCCTGATGCACAAAAAGTGAATGGCAGGTGGCAATAAGAGCTTGCTGGTACATGAGCTGCACAGGGAGATAAAGGCCATCTCCTTCAGCAGCTGAGGGGAGCAGAATTCACAAAGTTCCTTGTGCTGGGATTTGCACATTATCCTCCTAAGTGAAACTTAATGAACAAGACAAGGCAACAGTGGGATTTTTGACAAGTAATTCATGTGCCACTGCAAAATGCTTCAATCATGTGAGAGATGAAATTTCATGTAAAGCTGTGTCTGTGCCATAGAAACTGCTGTTTGACATGTAGTGAAACCTCCATCCTGATTCCTTGTCAGGTGGCCTCCCTTCATCTTGGCCTGGTTCTGACAGTGCCTGTCCTGCTAATGGGCTGATGATCATCAGTGGTTTAAGAACCTGAGCTATTAAATACCTCTTGGTTATCTTGTGGCTATCTTTCTTATATATTTCAGAATAATATAAAACCTTACACTGACTGTCCCTTTCATTTAGATTGGAAGGGTTTTTTAGGATAGAGATGAACTTATTTGCTATATATGTATATAAGATTGGGGTCCTGCCTTCCTTGCTGCAGGGGGAGACATCATCTGAAGAGGGATGGCAGGGAAAGGTAATATCAGTGCTGGTCAAAGCCTAATACCATGTGGATTATGAGTCAGAGCCTTTTGCTGTAGTTGTTTTCAAGCATGATTATATCAAGCAGTGCCATGGGCCTCTGCTGCAAGGAATTAATTTTTTCTTTTTTGTAAATGTCCCTTTCTTTCCAATCAGCCCAGCTGTGTGAGGGTCTGAGATGCCTCCACAGTTTTTAAACCTCACCTCCAGGGGAGACCAAAACTGCTTGTGAGTGAATTGATTCAAACACAAACAGGCTCAAATCATCCGTACCAAATCTGTTTGAATTTTCCCTAATGCTAGTATCCCCTTGAGCCGTGTCAGAAGCCACGTCCTTCACCCACAGACCTGGCTCCACTTCCCCAGTGACAGAGCTTGTGGGATTTCCCAAGGTCCATGGTGTTTTGTGAGACAAGAACTAAGCCTTTCTTAGATGCACTGCAGATGAAGGTGAACCTTTGTGGTGCTAGGCACAAACAGACCCAGCTGGCAGGAGCTTCATCTAAACATCCTCATCTTTATTATAAGGGAGGAGGGGTCTGACTGAAACCTGAAGGAGACATCGCCAATTTGAAGGTATGGGAAATCCAAAAAGTGAGTAAAATGATCTGGGCACCAAGCCCATCTCTGAGACCCTCCTCTAACAGATCATTTGTCTCATGATTTGGAAATAACTTCTTTCTCATCTGACAGAATGTTGTTCATCCTCTCCCTTCCCCCCACAACGGATAGAAATGACTCACAAACTGTGCTGTCAGATGTACAAAGTAAACAACCCCAAAAACTGATTCTTCTTGCCCTCTGTTATTTTTTAAAGCATATAGAAATGTCAAGTATTACTTATAAATTAGTAGATAAAAAAAGAACCGCAAAGGTATGGATTTTAAGATGTCCTTTGAAACCGTGCAGCTTTCAAATAAACGTAAATCTCTGCCTTTTAAAGTATTTCTAGTAGCTTCTTGT